GAATCACAGCAGGCTGGAAAATCACAGAATCAGCATCAGAACAGGGTGGAACAATCTCAGAATCAGAATAATTTGGAAAATCTCAGAATCAGAATCAGAGCAGGTTGGAAAATAAAAGAATCACAGAATCAGAATCATTTGGAAAATCTCAGAATCAGAATCTCAGCAGGTTGGAAAATCATAGAATCAGAATCAGAATCAGAGGAGGTTAGAAAATCACAGAATCAGAATCAGAATCAGACTGGAAAATCACAGAAACAGAATCAGAGTAGGTTGGAAAATCACAAAATCAGAATTAGAATAGGTTGGAAAATCACAGAATGAGAATCAGAATCACAGCAGGTTGGAAAATCACAGAATCAGAATTAGAATCAAAATCAGAATCAGAATCAGAGCAGGCTGGAAAATATGAGAATCATAATCAGAATCAGAGCAGGCTGGAAAATCACAGAATCAGAATAGGTTGGAAAAACATAGAATCGAAATCAGAGCAGGTTGGAAAATCACAGAATTAGAATCAGAATCAGAGCAGGTTGGAAAGTCAATGAATCAGAATCAGAATAGTTTGGAAAATCACAGAATCCAAATCAGAATCAGACTGGAAAATCACAGAAACAGAATCAGAGTAGGTTGGAAAATCACAGAATCAGAATAGGTTGGAAAAACACAGAATCGGAATCAGAGCAGGTTGGAAAATCACAGAATTAGAATAGGTTGGAACATCACAGAATCAGAATCAGAATCAGAGCAGGTTGGAAGAAATTTCAGACATTACTGAGTGAACCAACAGCACCGTGTCCAGGCTTTCCTGGTGGTTCCAGCACCTCCCTGGGCAGCCCTTTCCAAAGTCTGGCCCTGAACCTGCCCTGGCCCAGCTGGAACAGAGGGACAGGAGGAGTGGCTGAGGCAGGGAGGGTGAGAGGCCCAGGCTGTGCCCCAGCCCTGCAGGCTCAGGGCACAGCTGTGACTCAGGACTGTGCCACTCTGCTGCCATCGCCACCAGGAAAGGGAAAGGTCCAGCTTGCAGGGCAGGGTGTGCTCAGAAAGGGAAGGGTCACATCAGCACTGGCACCATCAGGCTTTTAATTGAGGACAGATGACTGTAAAAAAGGGCTTTTCACTTTTACTGAGATTAAATCACCCTCCCTGCAGCTCCTGCACAGCCATTCCCAGGGGGAACAGCTGAGGGGTCGCTTTGCATTCCTGTCACACAGCACCCATCTCAGCCCTCAAACAGCAGCAGAAAGCTGAATGTCACTGTGAAACAGCACAAGCTGCTTGGGGAGGGGGAGAGAGGGAAAAACAGGCACAGGGAGATGGACAGACAGACAGACAGAGCCCTTCCCAGGGTCCCTCTGAAGCCCCTCCTCAGCCATGGGCAGCAGAGCCTCACCCAGGGGAAGAGAAGCCAGGACAGCTGAAGGTCCAGAGCTCCCCTGCACCCCAAAGGAATAATTCTGGGAAAGCAGGCACAGCTGGATGGGTGGCTGGGCAGCAGCTGGGTGGGTGAGGCAGCCTGGATGGTGGCATTCAATCCTGGTGGCATTCTGGGCACACACACAGAGCTGGCTGGCCTGGGGTGCTGCTGCTGCTGCTGTGACCTGCTCCTGCTAAGGGTGGATGTCACACAGTGCTTAGAACAGTCATGGAATGGTTTGGGTTGGAAAGGGTCATAAAACCCATCCCATTCCATGGGCAGGGACAGCTCCCACCATCCCAGGGTGCTCCAAGCCCTGTCCAGCCTGGCCTTGGGCACTGCCAGGGATGCAGGGGCAGCCACAGCTGCTCTGGGCACCCTGTGCCAGGGTCTCAGCACCATCACAGGGAGGAATTCCTTCCCAATATCCCATCTCACCCTGCTCCTTTAGTTCACAAACTTTCCCCCTTGCCCACTCTATATAAAAAGTGACTCTCCCTCCCTCTGAAGCACTGCAAGGCTGCAGCATTTGCTGGATTTACAGCTCTCCTGCAGCATCCCCACACCAGACTCATTCTCCACCCACGTGGCAGCTCCCCAGTCTGCTCCACACAGCTCACAGGCACCACTGAACCTCTCAGCCCAAAACCAGAGCTCTGAGAAAGTCTGAACTGAGCACTGTGTCCACCCCAGATCATCCTGGGGCAGCCAAGAACACAGGAACATCACAGCACTGCTGCCACAGCCTGCTCTGACCCTGGGCATGGACAACATCCCTCGCCTTGTGGGGTCAGCAAGGCCTGGGCTGCCTCAGGGGGAATAAAACAGCAAAACTGCTGAGACACAGGCAAGGATTGGGAAGCAAAGGTTGCTGGGAGACAATGCAATATTTTTATATGGAATATATCATAGTCTGGGGTGTGAACAACACTCCCTGTTATCCCAGCCCCAGCTCCCAAAGGTGCTCCAGAGGTGCCTGCTGCTCACCAAGGGCTGTGCCCAGGCTCCAGGACGTGCTGCAGCCCCCCTCTCCTGGAGCCTGCTGCTGGCTCTTCATCAGCTTGGCCGTGAAGGAGGGCATGGAGCTGAGGGCAGAGGTCAGGGCAGAGTCCAGGCTCTCTGACAGCTTCTGCTCGTGGGACACCAGCTCTGCAAGGAAACAGAGATCAGGTGTGCAAAGGGGAATGGAGAAACCAGGAGTGCAAAAGGAATACAGAGAAATCAGGTGTGCAAAGGGGAACAGGGAAGCCAGGTCTGCAAAGGGGAACAGAGAAACCAGGTGTGCAAAGGGGAAGAGAGAAACCAGGTGTGCAAGGGAACATAGAGAAACCAGGTGTGCAAAGGGAGATAGAGACAAAATCTGCAAAGGGAAACTCAAACACCAAGTCTGCAAAGGGGAATGGCGAAACCAGGAGTGCAAAGGGAAACAGAGAAACCAGGTGTGCAAAGGGACACAGAAACCAGGTGTGCAAAGGGAAACACAGAAACCAGGTGTGCAAAGGGAAATGGAGAAACCAGGAGTGAAAAGGAACACAGAGAAACCAGGTTTGCAAAGGGAAAGAGAAAAAAATCTGCAATGGGAAACAGAGAAAACAGGTGTGCAAAGGGAAACAGGGACCAGGTCTGCAAGGGGAAATAGAGACAAAATCTGCAAAGGAAAACACAGACAAAATCTGCAAAAGGAAACAGAGAGCAGGTCTGCAAAGGAAAACAGAGAAACCAGGTCTGGAAAGGGAACACAACCACCAGGTCTGCAAAGGGAAATAGAGATCAGGTGTGCAAAGGGAATGGAGAAACCAGGAGTGCAAAAGGAATACAGAGAAACCAGGTGTGCAAAGGGAACACAGAGAGCAAATCTGCAAAGGGAAATAGAGATCAGGTGTGCAAAGGGAACAGAGAGACCAGGTGTGCAAAGGGAAACACAAGGACCAGGTGTGCAAAGGGAAACAGAAGGTCTGCAAAGGGAAATGGAGACCAAATCTGCAAGGGGAAATGGAGACCAGATCTACAAAAGGAACACAGAGAAATCAGGTCTGCAAAGGGAAACATGGACCAGGTCTGCAAGAAAAAGATGGAGAAGCAGATGCTGGGAAAAAGAATCTGTGATGCCAACACTGCCCTGGCTCTGAAGCTTGGAGGATTTTAGGAGCCCTGCCACTTGTTTTGTTGAGAGGTGTCTTCTCCCCACCAAGGGGCTGGGATTTGGGGGGCAGTGCCTCATCTCCTCTGGGTCCTGGAGGTGGAATGCCCTATGGATCACCACCATCCATGTGGTGTCCCAGAGCCAACTTATACAGGACCAGAATCATTTAGGTTGGAAAAGTCTTCCAAGATCATGGAGTCCACCACTAAATCATGTCCCCAAGTGCCACATCCATGGCTTTTAAATACCTTCAGGATGGGCAGCCTGTGCCAGGGCTGGAGAACCCTTTCCATGAAGGGATTTTCCCTAATACCACCCTAAACCTCTCCTGGCACACCTGAGGCCATTTCCTCTCGTTCCCTGGGAACAGAGCCTGACCCCCACCTGGCTGCACCCTCCTCCCATGGAGCTCTAGAAGTCTGAAGGACTAAAAAAGGGCCAAACTCCAAATACCCCAGGGGGTTGTTTTTCCCTGAAATCCCTCAGCTGGCTCCTGAGGATCCCACCCCAGAGCTCCCAGCCTTGCTCCATGCAGCTCACAGAGAACATTTAAACCATTAATAAATCTGTGGGACTTGTTTTTCCCTCTCTGTCCCAGTTGTGAGCCACAGGGCCAGGGCTGGACCCTCCCTGCAGGGCTGCCCTGTGCAGCACCGACGGCGTTAATTAAGATGAAGCATTAAGAGAACGTTGTCTGCATCATTAATTCTGTTAAATGCGGCTCCCAGAGGAAGAGCTCACAATTGGTGCTGCACATTTCCTCCACCAATCAAGGCTGATGATCCACAGAAGCATGAGCTCCATGGGCTGAGCACTCTGCTTCTGTTTATGTATGGACACGGCTGCCCCGGGAGCTCCAGGACCCACAGGGCAGCTCCTGCTTCCGTGGGGCTGGGGCACATCCTGGTGGGAGCTGTCACAGCCAAAACAACCAGAGATTCCTCCTAAAGCAGGGAATGAGCTCTAGGCTGAGGGATCAGAGCAGAAAGGTGCAGTCTGACTTCTCCCTACTCTTCCTGGTACCAGCCAACATCAATTATTTTCAAGTGAAGAATTGATTTAAAATCAAACGGCCACCTAAGCTTTGGCCTCAAAATGGTTTTGGGCAGATTTGGAGAAAGGTGAAGGCAGTGACAGGTGCCAGCAGCTCTGTGTCACCTTTTGACATGTCACAGACCACACTGGGTTAGAGCAGAGCAGGAGACTGAGCTTACCTGCCCAGAGAGCCAACCGTGCAATGCCCACACCTGGATTTACACCCTGTGTCCCCAGGTGCCACATCCTCATGGCTTCTAAATCCCTCCAGGGGTGGAAACTCCACCCCTGCCCTGGGCAGCTGTGCCAGGGCTGGACAACCCTTTCTGTGAAGGAATTGTTCCCAATATCCAACCAAACCCTCCCCTGGTGCAACCCCTGTTCCCTCCTGTCCCTGATCCCTGGGAACAGAGCCCGACCCCCACCTGGCCCCAGGGAGTTTTTGACAACAACAGGGTCCCTCCTGAGCCTCCCTGCCTCCAGATCTGCAGGACATTCTGCATTCCCAGCACCACTGAGGAAAGGATGGATGAAGTGAAAGCAGCATCCCTTCCCCTGCAGCCACAAGTCACATTTCTTGTCTGTTTTAGCCTGTACCAGATTTTCTGCTTTAACCACCCACAAATTCTGTGCAAGTCTCTCCCAGGCTGAGCTGTCCCTCCATTCCCTTGCTGTGGCTTGTTCTGTGTCCCATCCCTGTTTTTCCCATCCCTAATGATAAGCCAGGATTCCCTGTGCCATCACCACTGCACCACCAGACATTTCTTTTCCTGTTTTTGCAGGACCCAATAAATCCCCCTGGATAAAGAAACTTCAAACCATGATGGTGAGAAAAATATTGTCTCCACATGGAAGGAAGAGAAAGGAAATCCAAACTAAAAGGGGAACAGAGTGACCTGAGCAAACAAGGGCTGTGAAACACTGAACAAGAACATGGGAGGTGGATGAAACGACCCAGCTCCATCAGCCAAACCCAGCCTGGAAGTTTCCTAGAGAACCAGAACTTTCTAGATGGGAACTTGGCACTGGATTTGTCCTGGTTTGAAACCCCAGCCTGGGGCTGTCCCAACACCCAGGGAACAGAGGTGACCTGGGGAGCCATGATACCTGTGGAACAGTCCATCTGGATCAAGTGGGAATCACTGTCAGTTTTCATTTTTTTAGCACTGTTCTCTGAGGTAGAAGTGACAAGTAAGTTTGTAGCAGAAAAATAGGGTGGCTGCAGGGAGCCCTGATCCATGCAGTCCATTTTCCTTTTCAGAGAAGACATGGTGATGGAGGAGGGCACCAGGCTCTCCGAGGAGTGAGCCCTGCCCAGCAGGTTGGTGCCAGGGATGCTGTGCTGCAGCAGGAAGTGGTCTATCCTGGCCTTGAGGGTGGGGTGAGGTAGGGGCTGGGAGTGCTGGCTGAAGGCCACGCCCGTGAAGGGATCGCTGGGGACGCGGCCCCAGGACGCCTCGCTGCGGTTGCACTTCTCCAGGGTGCTCTGGTCAATCACCTTCCCAGAGGGCAGGAGCATGGGTAAAGTCATGATCTCCAGGGTGATGGGGTCCAGGAATTCTTCAGGGATGTCTTGGACAACGTCCACCAGCTTGTGCAGGGTCTGCTGCTCATTGGCACTGAAGGGGACGCAGTCGCTCTCCATCGGCGTCCAGAGCTCCGGCTTGAGGCTGCCCACGTCCTGCGCCAGGAACTGGGAGGCCACCTGGAAGACACCCTCGATGACCTCCTGTGGGCAGGACTTGGCAGGCTGTCCCCACACCTCCAGCCTCTTGATGCTGGGCAGGCCCCCCCCGGCCACGTGGGTGATGCAGATTTTGAGGTGGGACACGTTGCTGAGCGAGGCCGGCCCTTTGTTCCAGAGATCCTGGGACACCGAGCCGGGGTAGGAGAAGACATTTTCCATCTGATGGAAGGGAGGCCTTGGCTTGAAGCCTCTGTGGCCAAAAGTCACTTTGCTCTGATTTTTTAAGACAGCTTTGCCCACCAGGGTGAAGGTGTCCTTGTCCGACACAGGCTGCCCGGCCAGACCTGAGCACTGCCCCTCAGGGCTCTGCCAAGAGGTTTTGTTGCATGAGGTAGAGGTGTAAATTTCCAGGCCAGAGAAGGTCTGGTAGCCCCCAGAGGAGATGTCAATGTTGATCCTGCAGATCTCCACGTTGAAGGGGAAGGAGATGGTGACGTGCACCGGGGGTTTGATGAAGTACTCGCTGCGGAAGCCGCGGTTCCTCCTGGCCAGGTCCTCGGAGATCAGGTTCTCCACCTCGTAGCCATCGGCAGAGATCTGTGTGCCAGACCAAAACTGGGGTCAGGGTGGAGCAAGGAAACACAAGGAAGGCAATTTCACTTCCAGAGATTCTCAGGATGACATCAACCAGGAGCCAAGGCTGAGGTTTCTGTGCAGCTCAGACCCTGCTGTAAGGTAGAGCAGATCCACCACTCCTTCCACTCCCCCCCTCCTCCATCCCCTCTGTGTCCATGGGCAGACCTGACTTCACTGCTGGAAGAGTGGAAAATTAGGGATAATTTGTGGTTTTGGCTGGGTCAGTGAAATAAATCAAGGAGGAGAGGGTGGCTGGGAGCAGAGGATGAGCGTGTCTCCTTTTCCAGTCTCCCTTTTCAGGTGGGAGTCTCCTGATTTCCTTTGTGCCTACTTATCCATGTGGAAATGCACTTGGAATCACAGTTACAGGGTCCCAGAGGAACTCTGGATGTTAATCAGCCTCTGGGAGCCACCCCAGCCATCCCTGAGGGAGATCCATCAATCCAGGCTGGGTCTGGTTTGGAACATCCCATCCCACCCTTGCTCTGATCCTGGGCAGCCTGGTTCAATCCATTCCCTCTCCTGGATGCCCCAGGCCCTGAGAAATCTGCTGCATTTGCTAAATGGACAAATAAAAATGAGGAAAATCTATTTATTCTACCTGTTTAACATGGTCTTGATCATGACAATCACACCAAACCTCTGTGACATGGCTGGGTCTCTCCACAACAAATTCCAGCAGCACAGTATTTACACAGCTAAGGCTGTCCTGGATTTTGGTGCGGAAACTTACAACTAAAAACCAGATTTGAATGAAAGCTGAGTTTTTTAAAGAGATTCTGATGTGCTGAGTGAAACCAGAACTACTTGGAAAGTAACTTCACCGAGTTATCATTTCACAATGTAACATTAATTGATAATTTAACATTATCAAGAGCTGTGAGTTCCAATGGGCAGAGGGAAAGCTGGAATATTGCAGGGAAGAGGGATCTCAAGTCAAAGAACTTACACTGGGAGCACAGCAAGATGTCTGGTTAGGAGATCCTGCAAAACTGGGGCTTTTCCCTCCAGTATTTAGTGTGTGCCACATCAGAGCAGTGATGCTGATTATCCCAGAGGAGCAGTGAACCAGCTCCCCCCAGGATAATTCCATTTAATCCCTGCATCCCTCCCACTCCCCCAAACCCCCTCCTCACTGTTTTACCTTGTTGCAGTGAATTCTTGGCTTGAACTGTGGGAGACAGACGTTTATTACCATCTTGGCAGCTGGACAGAGGTCACTTGCTGAGCATCAGAGTCAGCTTGGAAAAAAAGAAATTAAAAATAAAGGAAGTGAATATCCATGAGCAGTGAAAGGATCTTGTGTTTTGGGTGAGTTACAGGCTTGGGACTTCCTAAAATGCAGCTCAGATCTGAGTCCAGGAGGTGAAGCCAATATAAACCCAAATGAATGTGGTGGAGAGATGAGATTGAGGGGAAAAAAATCACATTAATATTAATTAGTGAACCTGGGGAGAAAAAGCAAAAGGCAAATGGCTATTTTAACTAAAACCACCTATGAACAGACCAGCAATTAGACCTGAAGGTTTATTAAAGATGCAGGAGTTCTGTAGGTGTAGAAAACACCAGCAGAGCACAGGAGGCTGTCACAGTGAGTCAAGATTAATCACAAATATTAATAATTGGTGTTAAATAACTCCAAGGGAGCAGAGGGCATGGAATAGCTCTGAGGGAGATGTCAACACCAAATCCTGCTGCCAGCATTCATTAAAGAAACACCTCCTTTCCCATTGAAAAAAAAAGTGACTGGAATTGGCTGTCTCAGATCCCTTTTAAGAATGAAATTATCTGGGAGGTGAGAGCTTTAACCTCATGTTAACCCCAGCTTTAAAATGTCACTGCCCTGGGCAACCTTGCAAATCAGGGACTCGCTGCCTCCTTCAAGAACAAGCAGCTCTTTAATGATTTCCCACTGATCTCTTGGTTCAGCCCAAATCAAATTGGCCTTCTGGGGGCAGAGTTAATGAGCTCCCTGTGCTGCATCTGCAAGGAGAAAGGTGGAATTCAAAGCACAAATCCAAAAAAAAAATACCCAACCCAACATGGAATTGACACCTGCAGGGAGCAGGGCTTGGTTACAGCGCCTTGAAAATGAAGCAGGTGGGAACTTTACATAAGGAATAGGCACTTCTATCCCAAAAATTGGTCTGGCAGCCATCAGGAGCAATTCCAGCTCCTCAAGGAGCAGGACAAGCACACACCAATTCTCCTCCAACATTACCTTCCTGGTTTTCTGAGAGGTTTCCAGAACTGGGCTGCCAGTGGGGAATTGCTTAACCTGGTCTGACTTTGGCACTCACATCTTGTAGGAGACTGACAATTCAACTACAGGCTGTGCCTCAAAACTGCTCTTTTGGCCTCATTTTGAGCCAAAACTGGAAAATTCACTTGGCCCTCAGCAGTGATGTTATGAAAAGTGGCAAATGAACTCTGCTTGCTCCCTTCCTTGGTAAAACTCAAGATTCTCCCCCTGTTCTGTCTCTCCTCTCTTTCCTGGGCTGAAACTGCAACATGAGGAGCTCTGTATGGTATTTTATAGGATTCTTCTTGTTTGTTACCTTGAGAGATTTAGGTTAATTTTTCCAGTCTCAATACCTCAGTAAGAAAATTATTTATTTGCTTCATATTTTCTTCTATGTTTTCACTGCACTCCCTTCTGCTGAAAGACTTTGCTACAAATCTCATGGCTAAAGTTGAGTCACTGAGTTGCTTTTACCCATGGCTGGGCTTTTTTTCCTCTCTCTCTTCAGTGTGTGCCTTCCCTAAGGTGAACAAAGATCTTTGGACTGAGGCAGTGAAACACAGACCTGAAAAAAATCCTCAGTGGTTTTGGACAAGGAATTTTAAACCAGACTGTCTGGGGTTTGTCACCACAACTCTTCCTGGTGTCCTGTGTGGGACTATGGAGCTGCTGCATTGTGGACATCAAATAAAGTCCTTGGAATATGAAATGAATGTCCTGAGGTCAGAGCACCCCAAGCCTCAGTCCGTGTCCACGTTCCATCCTAAAGGAGAAACCCAGCCCCAGCCCCATGGGGATGGAAACACGAGGAAACAGCTCTGTGTGTGCTCCTGGCACCCAGCTCAGCCTCATGACTAAATATCCCAGCCCCAAATCCAACCACTCTCATTTAGGGTGGTGAAAGAAGCAACCACAGAGCAAAAGGAATCATCAGGAGCTTTTATTTGTGGTGGAAGCATTTGAGGATCCAGGTACAAAAGGACAGCACGGGAAGTACAGAGCAGAAATGGCCACACAGAACACAACTGAGCCACCACTCAGAGACCATTTTATCCAGTACCCAGGAATGATGCACTGGGAGGCTCTTTTCCCCCACTAGGCAGCCCTGGTGAGCAGTGCTGGGCTGAAGACTTTGTAGTGGAGGTAGCTGAGCTTCTCGGAGCGCGTGCGCCGGAGCAGAGGGAACCACTCCCAGAAGGGAAGCTCCACCACGGCGTAGCCCAGCAGCCGCAGCTGCCGCCGCTTCAGGCAGTGCAGCCCCAGCAGCCGCCTGGAGCCGTAGCAGAAGTGGTTCCTGTTGGACACCTGCAGTGCCAGCCTCACCTCCCCAGGCTGCCAGAGCCTTGCTTTAGGCTCAGCCTGGGATGGGGCACCTGCAGGAAGAGCTCCACCCATATACGTGGTGTCCCCTCTCTCCTGGCTGAGAATCCTGGATTCATTCCCCACCTCTGCGGGACTCTGGTTATGAGCTCTCCCCTGTATGAGCTGAGACATTAAATCATCTGTCAGATTAACTCCCATGTCTCTCAGCTTCTTGGCTGCCACAGGAGCCTTGAAGTTGAAAGGGATGGGGCGTCCATCCGTGGACAAGCGCACCTCCAGGTCGCTGGACCTGGTGTGGGGCAGGATCATGTGGTTCTTCACATACTCAGGGCCTCCCAACATGCTCTCCAGGAGGCATGTGGCTTCCACAATTTCAGGCCTGACATAGATTTCCTTCTCTGCAAAGCTTGAGACCATCTCAGAGAACTCCTGACAAAGCTGAGGTGTGAGGTGGCTGCCTTGGTAGGTGGGGCACTCGATTTCAACGCTCTTACCAAGGGTGAACAGGTCCTTGTTGAGCTCATATTTGCTACCTCTGGTTTTCTGGACAAACTCCTCCCTCAAAGCAAAGTCTATCAGCTCCTCTGGGAAGCGTTTGACAAAAGCCAGGCCAAGCAGAGCAGTAAGGAGATGCTCTGGAAACTTGCTAAACTCATGGAGTTTTGCATGCAATTGCTTTATCAGGCTGGAGTAAAACTCCTCCTCGTTGGGAGGTTCATAGTCCAGGCACCCAAACGACCACAGGAATTTGGCAGCGTCCTTGCTCCGGCAGTAGGACACCTTGGAAGGCAACGAGGTGGCAACAGCAGCCAAAACATCCTCATCAAAGAAGTGCAGGGATGAGTAGGTGAGAGTGATGTGCATGATGCCCTGGATGTTTGTGGCAGGGATCCGAGCAGGAATCACCCTGCCCAGCTCCCTCATCAGGGGCAGGTGGTCCATGCGCGTGTAGCGCAGCATCTTGAGCACGTTCACCAAGGCGTAGGTGCTCATGTCCTCCATCTGCAGGGCCACCCTGTCTGCAATCCTCCTCATGACGTGCTCAGAAATCCCACTGAGGGATTTGAAGAGCCCCAAGCAGATGGCACCCAGCTCCTCCAAGGTGAAGGAGTCCAAGTGCTTCAGGATGGTGCTCTCCACCTTCTGCGCCAAGTCCGCGGGCGACCTCCGGCCTTCACCGACGATGTAGAGGAGCTGCACAAACTGGGGCAGGGTGAGGTCCTTCCAGTGCAGGTTGGCATAGCTGAACAGGATGCCCAGGTAGGAGGGCACGCTGCGGTCCAGGCAGCGCCAGCAATCCGCCACCAGCAGCAGCTGCTCCAGGCCCATGTCCCACGCCCGGCGGCAGAACTCGGCCTCGCACGCGTTGAGCAGGGGGTGGGAGGCTGGCACGGCCAAGGGGACACAAGCCTTTAAAATGTGGATGAGATCTGGGGTGCTGAACAGCCTGATGGCCGTGACAGCTCGGTGACACAGGGCACTGAACCTGGCATCCGACCCCAGCGCCGCGCGGCGCTCCGCCGGCAAACGGCTCAGCTGGAGGAAATAATCCCTGAGAAGCCCAGGGCTGTCCTCACAGCACGCCACACTCTGTAAAATCCTGTCCCCTTCCTCTGCAGGGAGGGGCTGTGCTGGCTCAGCGCTGTCACAGGTGAGAGCTCTGTACTCAGGCCTGCCCTTCTGGAACGTGCGCGGGTCCTCCTTGGAGTCGTGCACTTCCCGCTTCTCCTTCTCTCCATCCTCCTTGTACAGCCTGCTCTGCTCCAGGAGCGTGCTGGACTTGGGCAGGGCACTCCTGCCAGGTGACAAAGCTTGGGAAGAGGCAGTGGGGAACGTCTGTGGAGCCTGTGCAGCGCCAGGGCTGGTGAACGTGTCACCCAGGGCCTGGCTGCTGTCCCTGTCCCCGTGCTGCTGGGAGCCAGCCCTGCCTTTGGCATAGGCAGCTGGATTGTACAGCACTCTGTAGTCCTGGGGCTTCAGCAGCTGGATTGTGGCCCCTGAGTGAGTCCCAGTCTTGGCTGCTCCTGGTTTATCTCTCTTTTCCTTCTTGCTTTTGCTGCTCCCACGCTTGGCCGTGGTGGAAATCGCCGTCGCCCTGCTCAGCCTGGGCAATCTTCGGCACATTAGCACCGTAGCCATGGGTCTCAACTTAGTGGGGCTCAGAGCTGCTTCCAGGTACTGAAAAAAGGGCAGACGGAGAGTCAGTGGCCTCCACTGAAATAGGAGTCTCCTTGAGCCAGCTCTCATAAGCTCTTGGAGATCTATTTCACACCCAAGAGAGCTCAGCCACCTCAGAAGGCATAAAATCAGCAGGATGGCTTCTGTGGCATTGTTGGAAATAGAGAAGTTTTAATAAAAGGCAAAATAACAAAACTCTTTACAGAGAAAAACCAATCCAGGTGCAAGAGGCCCTCCTGTCCCTGGTAAAACACCTCACAAAAGTGATTATTTCCTTTTGTTCTCTTCTTTTTCTAATAAACTGCTCAGGCAGGACTTTTTGGCTCCTGTCCAATTGGCTATCCCTAAGTTTGAGGTGAAGTCCCCAAAGTCCTATAAGATGCCTTTTTCACCTAATCCAAGAGAGAAACTTCTAAGCTTATTTGCTTTTTAAGGAGAAAAAAGATAGTTTTGTCACTCCATCAACAAAAGGCACAGTCCTACACTGCACCTCACAGGCAGCACCTTTTAATCAATCCTTTAGGGAGTTGGCACTGGTCAGGACAGCTGGGTCCCTCAAAGCCACCACGGAATGTCACCTCATGCAAAGGCAGCTCAGGATGAGCACCCACGAGAGCTGGGCTTGGAGTAGAAGACAGCCAGGCACAATCTGCTACTCAGCAGACACAAGAAACCTGGCACAGATTAGGAAAGTTAAGAATTTTTTTTCATATTTAAGAGAGCCAAGCTGCTTTTCTTTCATTCTGAACAATGAAAATGTGTTTTTGTAGAAGAGCTGCAGCTCAAGAGGTTTTGTGTGTTCAGACAGAGCATTCTGCTGCTTTGGTCAGTCTGAATCACTGACCACCACCTGAGAAGTTGTCCAAACATCCAGGGTGCCACACTGCCCTTTGCACCTGGGGACAGAATGTGGAGCAAAGCCTACACAGAACCAGAGCAGAGAGTGAAACCTGGCCCAGAACCTGCAGGTGGAGGTTGGAGAAATGAAGAAATGTGGGGGAAGAGCAGGGGAGAAGTAACACAAATCATTACGTGATGCTACATCCCAGGAGCAGAGCTTTGAGCTTCAGATCTGAGAGCATTTCCAAGAGTTTTAGGGTACAGAAGGTTTTAAAAATGGCTGGTGCCTTCCTAACTCCTGCCTGAAACAGCTACAGCTCGGAGGGTGAGGATGAGAAATCCGTGGGAGTCCAGCTGGGTGCTGCCAGCCTGCACTGAGCCCTGTTTACCACCCTTGAAATGCTGATTAAAAAAATAAAATATAGCACCAGGTGTCAGGTTTTTCCCTCAAATCCTTATCCCAGCCAAAAAAAAAACCCTCAGTCCCACATGGAGCTGGGCAATCAGAAAGGCAAAGCCTGGCAGAGATGCTCCCACTGCAAAACATTTTGTGCTCCCCCCACACAAATGGAGATGAATCCTCAGGGACAGCCCTGGGAGCTCTGCTGGTATCCACAGCTTCCTGAGCAGGGATGCAGCAAGATGTGGCATCAGTTCAGGCAAACTCAGTTTTGCAGCAGCAAAAAGAGCACTTTGGGGTACAAGAGGAGGGTTTGGGGTGTGTGAGCAGCATAAACTGGATTTGTTTTGGTGTGTAAGGATCCCCCATGATCCAGGGACAGCTTCCACTATCCCAGGTTGCTCCAAGCCCTGCTCAACCTGGCCCTGGACACGTCCAGGGGTGGGACATGCACTGCTTCTCTGTGCCACTGAAGAAATGAGGACATTTTGCATTCTCTGCTCCTTGGGCAGAGCTTGGAGGCAGCAAACAGCAGCCAAGAGGGAGGAGAAGCTGCTGGAGCAGAAACCACCCCAGCAGAGAGGTGAAAAACCCAGCTGGGCTGGGGGGAAGGAAAAGGCAAACTGAAATGTGGATTTGTGGGGAGAACCATGCAAGGAGAAGGCTACAAGAGAGGCCAATGTGGTTTTAGGGTGATCTGTAAATATTGTGAGCTGCCAACAACACACTGGGCACCTGATCTGCATCTCCAAACACCCTGAGGCTGCCCCAGGAGCAGACCAGGCTCTGTCCCACAGCCCCCAGGCTGCTCCAAGGCTGTGACCGTCCCATCCCAGCATGAGGAGTCAAATCCTGCCAGGCTCTGCCCCTTCCTGGCTGTCTGAGGGGCAGCGAATGGAAAAGCCTCCTCAGAAGCTGGACAGGGAACACAAACCAAGAATTTCAAAGTTCTCCTGCTCAGCT